CCGGTGCTCGTCCTGGGGACAGAAGAGGAGCCCACGCAAATGATGGACTCCTTGGAGCAGCTGCAAGTTGAAGGGCAGCGGGCAGGCTTCTTCGCCAGGCTGCCGCACAGGCACACGCAAAGCAAAACCCAAAACGCTCCCATTGACGGCATCCCTACTGCTGCTTCTACTGAGCTTGCATGAGGCACTCGGAACGGAACCGGGCGGGCAGGCAGGCAGGCTGGCTGGCTGGATGGTGCGTTTCCACCCTGCACCACGCGACGCAGCACCGGACGGCAGCGAATCAGCGGCAGCACCCTCCCCACTACCCCCCACCCCAAATTAAATAAATCCTTGTTCAGCTTAAACAAGCAAGCCCCGCAATACTGACAACATCACGACAGCAAATAACGGAGCGGCAATAAACCAAGAACACGCGCGTTTCTCAACCGCAACAATTCAGAACACTCCCCCCCCCCCTCACCCTCCGCCCCCATCACGCATAAGGAAAAAACAAACTGCAGCATGGTGGACGACAACCCCAATCAGACATGTCTTATTTATTAGGTCGACCTTGTTAAAAACGTAAGTTTTCAAAAGACACCAACGGCGTCGTCGCAGAAGCAGAAAACAAACACATCATGAGCACTTTTAACGAGTGGCTTTTAATGACAGTAAAAAAAAAAAGAAAAAAAAGAAAATGCATACTTGCATTTCTGAACAAAATAAACAGTTGTAAACTTGTAATAGGTTGAATCTGATGCCAATTCCAACCCAAGTTTGGGTATGAAAAGGTTCACCCCCACCCCCCATTCCTGTCCCAAAATGGTAAAACATCCCTGATTTGTCCATGTGAGGGTTCTGAAAACAAAGCATGTTCGCCATGGAGTTCCACAAGGATCTATTCTTGGACAAATATTATTATGGTACCACAATCATCATGACCAAGAGATCGAATAGGAATGATGTAATTGTTTTTTAAAGACACTGTAAAGTGAATTCAGTGATTTTCCCCCAAACACATTAGACATGATTAATTTTACAATATATACTTGACAATTAAAAAAATAATAATTACATACAACACTCTTTCTATGCAGTCTGTCAAATGTACAAGAGATTTATGTTCACTTTACAGGTAATTTAATCTATAAGGATGAAGGTCTTACGCCATCCTTTTTACCATAATTTTATCGCATAAAAATACAAATAGAAGCTAAATTTGTGGATATTTGGATTTAACTTGAATTTGGGGACGGCAGTGGAGAACTACTTTGAAGCGGCTTTGCCTCCTTGCGCAGCGTCTTCAGGCACTTGTCCAGCCTTTTGACGCAGAGCGCCACGTCGTCGCGGGTGATGCCCACGGCGGCCGCCGCGTTGATGTACGGGCACGGGTAGGACTCGGAGTGCGACATGAACCCTCGAAAGGTGTGCCCGCCGATGCTCTGCTCTTTGCCCAGCGCGACCACCCTGCAAAACAACCACCCGCCAATAATGACACGAGCGAGCTCGATTCCGTTTTGCTGGCATTTCTTGCTATGCTGGATGAATGTACGAAACTTGATAAATTAGTCATCCATTGCGTGTGCAGTCGATAACTGAGAAGAGCAAAGAAGCCTCAAAAGAACCTCATTACAATTCTGAAGCCGTGCGTCAACTGGCAGAAATTCTTCGGCTCGCTGCAAGGAAAAACCAAGCAGCCGAGGGAGCGGGCTGGCAAGTGAAGACGCAATCTAATGTTATTGGAGCGAGAGGGCAGTCTAATTATCTTGTGCCATCCCGCTTATTTCGCACTTTCATCTCCCTTTTTTTTCAACAACGCAAAAGCATCGACTCATCTTCAGGGCCGTGCTTTGCACGCTTTCCCACAATAGGTGAAAATCACTCACTGTTTCGCCGATTGTTTGGCTCCATGTGTGTTCACGGTAATTTGGTGCCTTCAGGGTGATGATTATTTTGGATTTTCATTAGTTTTTAATTACATTTTGATTTGAACTTATTTTATTAATTCACGTTGCGGATTTGTTTTTGATTTTTCGCAAACTTGTGTCATTTTGGTTTAGTTTTAGAATTAGGTTTTTATTTTTTTTTTTAATATAGAGAGTATTTGTCAAGTGTAAGATTAAAATACAAAAATAACTGCAGTCAAAATGAACTCCCAAAGGTCAGCTATGAATTAACATATTAATTGACAAAGACGAAAAACAAAGGACGTTTTTGCTGGATTTAACTCGCGTTTTTTTAAGGTATTTTCATTTTTAGTTTATTCCGTTGAGAATTTTTTTTCAATTTTTAGTTACTTTGTGAGTTTTCGTTCACAATCATAAACCTGTTACTCAGAAAATCGGCAAAAATGTTGATCACCCTTTGCTAAAGCAAAAGCAAATATTTGAAAGTTTTATTTTTATTCAACATGAAGGCGATCGGTCTGCCTCGAGTGAAGTCGACATAAGTCGAAGAATATTTACTGTTGAGTGGCTGAAATCAGAGTTGTCTATTATTTAATAAGAATGAGAAAACCTTTATTCGTCTCACAATGGAGAAATTCCCAATTTACAGCAGCAAAATTATGAAAGGAAGAAAGTAGAAGAACAAAAAGTATAGGAGCTGCTGTAAAGGCAGCCACTCTCGCGCCGCCATCTTGAAGTCATAATTACATAATAACAATAACATAATTTGATCATTAGAATTGTAACTGTATAATGTATAATTGTTGCACATCTAGACAATTTTATTATTTCACTATTTATTATTTTTTTTATATATCGTTTCTCGCTACTGTGTTTAATTTTTAAGTGTGGAACGTATCCCGCCAGGACAAACAGGCTTGAGGGTGCGGTTCATACCTGGCTCCTGAAACTTGGCGAGTGAACAGCATGGCGCCCAGCTGAGTCGGCGCCTGGTCGCAGTCGGCCCGCAGCCCGTCCAGCGACATGGCTGCCGCACCCAAAAAACACAAAGTGAACATTTAACAGCACGGGAAGCGCATTTGGAGGTGCGGCGCCGTAGATGGCGTGCTCACCAAGCGAAATGGGGTTATGGGGGGTGTGAAGCAATCGCTCGCCGTGCGCCGACGCCAACTTTTTCAATTCTTCGGCCAGGAGTACGTAAATCTCCTGCAAGGAAACACAAACTGCACATGGGCCCCAAGGAGCATGGCTCAAAAAAAAAAAAAAAAAAAAAAAAAAAGGCAGGACTAAGAACTAGAAATAGCACCACTATCTTTTCTCTGCCTTTATTGCTTTCCAAGCGATCCTTCCAGCGTGCACCCATTTGAAAAATCGACCGAAAACTGATTTTTGAGAGCCTCTCATCTCAGGGATGATGCCATTTAAAACCACGAGGGGAGTTTGCCTCATTATTTATGCACAATGCGGGGCAAGAGGCAGCATTAGTGCGCCTTGATGGCATCGGGTCACCGGAAGAAAAATTTCCTCGATCCATGGATGACATTTTCGGGATTCGGATTCACGGTTCATTAGCAACATTGCATTTTGTTTTCTTCTTTCCATCTTACCTTCCTTTCGGACAGGAGTTTCTTATAGCCGCTGGCTCCTAGCGTGAGAAGCGTGATGAGGAGGTCGAGGGATGGCGACGCAGATGCTCGGCCTGGACAAACAAAACAATAATGACATTGTTAAACTGCATTAAAAAGAATGAAACCGTTTTTTGTCACACTGTATCAATTAAAATGTTGCTCCGTCTGGTATGCCCACCTTGACCACTTCAGGGCGTTATAAGACATACAAATGCTTTTGTTAGCATTCAATTACGGGGCCTTTCTCAGATGTTTTATCATGTATTTCAGATTCTTTTGCCAAAGTCGCTCAAGACCAAAAACAAAACAGACTAAAATAAACAAACAAACAAAACATCCACAGCAACCTGTGTGACAATGTGCTCACTCTACCTGGGTAAGTCTTGCTAATCTCCTGCACGAAGGCTTCCTCAAAACCGGCGATTACGGCGCCCCCAACTGGAAGCATGAAGTTCTTATCCAAGCTTTGGACAAAGGCGTCGATTCGTCCGACACGGCCCCCCTGTGGGATAAACCCCCAAAAACAGATATGAATACATCGGTGGAGCTCGCATGCGTGACGGATGATGTACATACCTGCTGGATGAGGTGCATGCACTTGGATGACTGCACTCCGTATGCATTGTTGACTATGTGGGGGATGTCATATTTTGCACACAGGGTGGCCAACTCCTCCAGCCTATCAACATTAACAAAGATGGAACACAGGAAAACAATTGCAACAACAAGCTCTTCCTACATAACCTTATGTCACTGTGGGCTGTAAGCCACGCCTCTTTTTATTGTCTAACCCAAACTTGAAGTTGCATCCCAACGTTGGTGTATTTGTATCACACAATGACAACGCAGGCTTTCCATTCGACTGAAGACTGAGTGAAGTGGTCGGCTTACCTGTCAGGCACTCGTGGCGCAAAGCATGACGTCGTGGAATGGACGCACAGGACGCTCTCGGCTCCCAGCTCGCAGATTTTGCGCTCCACGGCATCCACGTCGGTCCGCAACTCGTCGCCCTCCAGCACGTTCTCCACCACGACGGGCACGAAGCCTGCGAGCGACATGAACAGGCACGAAGAGGTTTAAGCGCACGCAGGCGGACGTTAGGGTGAGGTTTCCCGGCGAGCGAAGTCACCTGCTGTGATCATGGCCTTGAAGCAGGACTTCTGGTCGATGCGTGGCAAAATGATGTAGCGGGCCTTCGGCCGCCGTTGGCGCAGAGTCAGGAAGCACAGAGTCAGGCCCATGCCGGTCGCCATGGGCACCACGAAGCAGCTCTTCACGCTCCTCACGCCTGTCGGAAACAAGATGAACAGCTGCCCACTGAATCGTTGAATTGTACTTATGGCTGGGGTAAGTTACAAAAACAGGCTAAAAGTAAGCAGAAGGTTATGAGCAGCAGGTGTGTGACTTCATTAATTTTATCACCATGTTCAAGTGTGGAACATGGAATTGAGATCATTTGTTGAAATGTTAAATACTGATGTTGTGGAATTGAAGTTTATGAAACCAACCATTAAATAAACAGGTCGATCCTTAAATGGTAAATTTTATGCAATAGAGCCCTTTGCACTGGGGATAATAAAATTAATTAAAACTCAATTAAAAACATATCAGTACATGGCTATTTTATTGTTTGCTTCAAACCCTTTGTTGGGGGTTAGGATAGTCGATCTTTAATACACGTGGACACATTTTTTTCCACTGAGCGACACGCACCTGCCATCTTTAGAATGTCCAGCACGAGCGAGTTGGTCAGTTTATTCAGCAGACTGGACCCGGCAGCTTTTGGCTGAATGGCCGCGATGTCACCTGAGCGGCCAATGCCGTGGATCAACCTGCGTGTTAAAAACACCAACGGCGGCCTGTTAACACCATGAGCTTCACTTAGCTTAAAGACTGTTTGCAAGTAGCATAACGCGCGACCTGTAATGTCGTCTTGCCACCATGTTGGATACCACACGGCCTTCCCGTTCACCCACGCCGCAATTGCCTAGAAAGTTGTTGCTGTCCATGACGGCCAGCTCGTTCAAGAAGAGCTCGATAGTGGCCTCGCTCCATCCTTCCTCTGGACACTTTCTCTGTAAAGGAACGAAAGCCGCGAGATGAGACGAGAGAAGACGAGAGGGGGTGGGGGGGGACGCAAACGATGACCTTACCTGCTCCAGCAGATGCCTGATGAGCTGCTCGTGGCCGCGGCGAGCTTCACTCGCCTGTCGGATGTACGACGCCGACACAATCTTCTCGCTCAGCGTGAAGTTTTCACTGTTCATCGCTAGTCAATGCACGTGACGTGTTAAAATAAAATAACACATGACCCAGCCCTGCCATAAATAATTGACATCCATCGATAAGGAGTTTATAATTGCGTATACATGCCACAAGAGGTCGGCAGAGGATCATAAAGCATGGGCATCACTTCAAAAAAAATCTCGGTTTATACACACACACACACACACACACACACACACACACACACACACACACACACACTCATTAATAAGCCGCATTACGCAAAATGTGAACATAACCATCGCACTTAGACATAGGAAGACAAATAAATGAATCAAATGAATCGACTAAAACCTATTTCATAAAGTAAATAACAAATACATGTACACACGTTTAAAAACAAGTTACTATTGTAAGAATACTATTGTAACAACAGTAACTTGTTTTTAAGGGAGGAACAATATTGTTCCTCCCTTACTTCAGTTCCACTTTGATTGTGCACGTGGTGCATTCATGTACCGCCAAAAGAGAGGACATCTCAAAATCACATGGAAAAAATACGTCATTGGCGAGAATGAAAGCTAACACGTGCCTGCCTTAATAACTACAACAAACCTCACTTTCATTGACAGATTGAATTTTCAGGTGGTGGAAAAATAACTTCACACATGAGTTAAAAGAGCTCATCCTTTCTCTCTGTCACGCAAACTGTGCATTTTCGTGTCGATCCTCTCAGCTAAAATCAACTTTTTGATGTTTATAATTGCACAACCTAGCCAACATCAAACTTTTTACAACTAACAATCAAAATCAAGCCCAACCCTCGCAGAATTTACACTTATTTGAAAATCTATTTAACAGAATCACCTCTATACGGTCCAGTCGCCGTAGCAAACGCGGAAGTGGCTTGTCATGTGACAAGAATCATGTGACCAGCGTTTCCAATTTCTTAAAGGGCCAGCACACAACTTGACATCAATCGACATTTTATATCCAGATTGATTTGAATTGTATAAATACAACAGTTCAACTCATTAATAACACATTTTTTTTATTTGATCACTTGTGTGTGTGTGCATAGGATATGCGCTGCGTAAAGCCAATTCACGCATTTGAATCCAAATTCTTTTATTTATACGATACTGTATACACATTTGAATTTTCAAAAGAGCATCAGAAAATACATTGATGATAAAATCGCTCTTCGTCCTGTCAGGCTGCTTTGGTGATTCTGGACGGGAAAGACGGCAAGTTGTTGGCATAGCAGGTTTTCAAACACAACAGCTATGCCAACATCTTGCCTTCCTTCCTGGATCCATTTTCAAACACACTATTTCCAACCAGTGGTCCACTTGTTCTCCACCTGGTAGAGGCTCTGCGAAGAAAAATAATTTTTGCAGCGCCAATTAAAAAAATGAAATGTGAAAAAAACCCAATGACTTACCTGTTCAGATGTTTGACTCAAATGAGCCACCGTCATGGTCCTGCCTGAAAGTGAGCCTTCAGGAAGAGCACAAGGAAGTTTGACGCTTCGACAAGATCAACTTGTCACCGCCCATTTCTGTGCATTTGCAAAGCCGCTCGGCGGACTATTTGAGGGCCTTCAGGTCACAGAAGGAGGCGCATGCACTGATTGGGTGTCCAGAAACTGTCATGCCTTGGAGAATCTCAGAAGCCCTGGCCTGCAAAAAAAAAAAAGACACTCCAAGTATGATTGTACTAATCAAAACCTGAGCGTGACTTCACCGTGGCTGCGAGTGGGGTATTTCCACCCAATGTGATTTGCTGATGATGTGATTTGGTTCATTGATGAATCACACAATGATTCAAAACGTGTCTAGACCAAAAAGTGAAGACTATGTGGGAAAGGCTCTTGCTGTCAATGAGCAGAAAACAAGTTGAATTGAGTCACAGTGCATATGTTTAGTCGCACATGCCTTTTGAAAGAGAACTCAAGTGGGTGTACTTGATGCCGTCCTTTGCATAAGAACAACATCACATTTCTGACTCTTCCAACACCGATGACTCACTTACTTCGTAAGGTGTCGACTTTGCCACTCCCAGAGTAAGCAGTATATTATTTTTGTTGGGGCATGTTTTTTTTCACGGTTACCACAACAATAGAGAAGTCAGGCCGACATGAGAAATGATGAACCACTACAAGCTTATCATTCCCCTTCATTTTAAGTTGGATTTAGGTCAGGGTTCTTCAGTCGTCTCTTGGCCACACGCTCCCTTTCTGTTTTACTGACCATCCAGCTCAGTAACCCGCACATGTGCACCAGCAGCTCGTGAGTCAGTCCAAGTCTGCTGAGGCCCTCGTTTTCATGACCACCCAGGCTGCCCCCTCCAAATAAAATCATGAGTCGACTAACACTGTAGCCTCCCATGAGACGTTTTCTGCTGAGTCAAACCCGAGCACGCCCTGTGACAGCGAACGAGCAAAGTCGACTCAATAGCCGACTGGCCCGTGAGCTGCTAACTTTGCCCCCGAGATCGTGCGGCGCTGACTAATTGCTGGCAAATCAAACAGTGAATGAGTTGCCGTGCCATAAAATGAGAGTAAAACTCCCCAGACAGGTTGCTCACATTTGAGCGGTGACTCACGTAATATAAAGGTCAAGCAAATTGACCTTCTTAATTGTATGGGGCAACACATTTAGATTTTTTAATGACTATGTAACGCTCCAGTGTGGCTTGAAAGTTCCATGGAAATAGGCTGGACAGGAAAAAAAAACAATTAGATTCTCTCTAATATTTTAATTGTCCAGTTAAAAACGGAATTAATTTCTTCAGCCTTCAATAAATTTTATAGTATTAAATGTTTTCCTGAATTTCTTACATTTTCTCTGCTTACAGATATTTTCTTACTTTTGATAATGACAAAATGCGTTTTAAACACCCTCCTTCAAAAAAAAAACAAAAAAAAAACCCGGATCCAATTTCATAAACGCATTGTCCCACTTAGTCCAGTGTGTCGCTTTTGTTTCTTTAAAAAGAGAGGTGTCCACATTTGACCACAAGAGGACGCAATCTTCCCACCGTGAACCACGGCGAAAGAAGGCTGTCAAATTCCACCAGCACATTTTTTTAAAAAATTTATCATATCCAGAATGCTGAAAATAAAGGAATCTGGATGTTTTCACCATTTTGTCTGACTTGGTCGCGTCAGTTTCATACAAAACCAACACGCAAGGTCATCGTTGCATATTCGAATCAGATCAGCTTTATTTGCTTTATTATATACTTTGTGTTTGTACATAGAGACAAATGTGTTGTACATATATAGATTATATGGTTAATTTGTATCTGTATATATATATATATATGTACACGTGAAATCAATCGTACATGATCACCAAAAAAATAAAGACATTTCCAGTGCAAAACGGTGATTGGTGACTTGTGGCAATTAATTCACTTACCTTCATCAAGCACAATCAAAAGTCCTTCGACGGCATTATTCAAGCAACGTGGCGAAGAGCAACTTTGGAGTCCACCTTGAGTTGATCGCTTGAGCCTTCACGTGCGCACAAATGATTGTCCAAACTCAAGCAAAATTAGCTGACACTATACAGTTATATACTCAACAAGCCTTAGAGAGGCAGTTTGTGGATCTTTCATATTTGTTTGTTTTTTTTGCACTTCAATACGTGAAAAAATGTCGGCAGTCACAGCCCTACCTAGATTTGCTCAACATGAGTATATATATAAAAAAAAAAAGAAGTCATATCCAAACTGGTTTTGCTCGTTTGAAACAAAAATAGATATTTACAAAGTAAAACCTTGTTCTCTTTTCGAATCGAATGCATAAAAGTGTAGAGTTCCGCTGTACAGTCGGTGGGTAACCAGCCCAAAGTAACTCGAACGCAAGCACTTTTTTTTTTATTTTTTTTTTTAGTTCCCGCGTTTTAACACGTCATTGCCACCAAGATGCTGTACAGAGACTTGAGGTCAAAGGGCGTCGAAAATGGAAAGGCGGTTGGGTGCAGACGCATGACAACACGTATATTGCTGTTTAATCCACATTCTAGTCGCACACATCGTGAATCGTTGCTCTCTTTTTGCGTACGAGACAAATGGGTGGAGTTTATTTGTGTTCTAGCATAGCGCCTCTAAGAGGAAGGGATGGTCATTGCAGCTTAGAAAGTGATCTTGACTAATGCTGTTGCTGTCGTTTTTTTCTACGTCTAGACTGCGCACTGGTTTACATGTTAGCATGTAACATGGTGAAAAACATTTTGGTATACGTTTTTTTTTTTTTTTTAATGCGGATTATTACTATTTGTCTGCGAGTGTCATTTTCTTTTCTTCTTCAGCTGCGACTCGAGCCCAAAGCGCTACACGCCGACTAATCTATCAATTGTGACACGTTTACACTGATAAGTTATTGTCAAATGTATTATTTTGACTTCATAATGGAGGCTTAGTGGGTCCTTAAATACTCATGCTTTTCGTTCCAGAGGCCTTTTTTTTTGTTTTGTGGTGGTGCGAGTGTGTGATGTGTTATCTACAATCCGAGGGAGCAGATTGTTCTGCTACAGTACATTTTATGCTACTGCTAATTATTTCATGGAAAAAGTGTTCAAATTGAAAAAGAAAATCCTCTTAAGAGAGAGCGCCTTTTCGGGCGGGTTTAAAAGAGTTTGTTCTTGGTCTTCCCTCTTCTTGTTATCCGTATTTCTTGTGAGCTCCCGGCGGGCGGCGGCTTCATCTGTTAAACCAATAAGTTCACTGGAGGTGGTTCTCCTCAACCTGCCAGTCTTGATAAGCCTGATCTAATGACACTAATGACATGCATAATGCTTTACAGATTCGGCCGGTGCGCCCGTAATGCGCCCTCTCACCTGCTAATTAAACACTGAAAATCCACTCATGCCAGACCGAGTTTCGTGCCTCTCGTTGGCGTCTCCACTGCACATTTTCCTCACTCCACTTTCATCCAGCACGCAGGAGAACCGATGAGGATGTTTTCTTTTTGTTGGTCAGTAAGGGGGAAAGCTGGGGGGCGGACCTCGGGTACGGGGTGTCCGGGCCCCCCCACCTCAGACGGACACGGGACAGATGAGCACCCGGTCCTCCAGCATGACGCTGACCACCAGGAAGACGAAGTAGAGCATGAACATGATGAAGCCCAGCAGCTTGCTCATGCGCCACTTGCAGGCGGCGATGGAGATGATGACGAAGAGGAGCATGAGGAAGAGCAGCACGATGGCACAGAAAAGCCCGTTGGAGCTCACCGCCACCGGACGCAAGCCGCTGATCAGCGACCACATCAGCCACGGGAACGGAAGCCTGCGCAAAAATGCAAAACGTCGAGTCATGTTAGAGGGAAAATCGTGACGGCTTTTGGGTTATTTTTAATCGCGTTCGCGGTCGGCACGGAACAAATGAAACGGTTGAAAGTCACTCTTAAAATGTGAATATAGGAGACAAACTCCATCTTGATAAATCAGGACAAGGATCTCCGATAGAACGGCTGTTCCGATTCATGGAGCGGCGCTTGTCAACAGCATCGATCACATGTAATTAGAATTTTCATTCCATTGGGTCATGCGGCTTCATTCTGCTGAATCTACGAGTCACAAGCGTGACTCGTAATGGTAACAAAGCATGCTGGGAAACCCTCCAAATGATCGTGAAGTTGGAGCACTGGAAATAGCGCGAGTAGGTTACAAATAAATAAATCTGCCTTATTAAGCGACGATCTGTAAATGTAGTGCTGTCATGAAGTTCGGATTTAAAGGCGCAGGGCTCAAAGCGTCGGGGGGCAAGTATCGGCTCGTCGTCTGTAAATTACAGTCTGTGATCATATCATGAGAAGCACATTTGTACTTCATATCATGAGATACACAATTGTATGACAGCACAAAAGAGCAAAAGTGCTTTTTGTACGATGCCGTACCCGACAGTAATGTCAAAGATGTTGGAGCCGACGGAACTGGACACGGCCATGTCGCCGAGGCCCTTGCGTGCCACAATGACGCTGGTGATGAGGTCAGGGATGGACGTTCCAGCCGCTAATATAGTCAGACCCATAATCTCCTCGGTAATCCCGATGGTCTCTCCAACCTGCATAAAAAGATAGAGGGAAGGGATGGGGGGGGGTTAGAGTAAATAAAGCCTCATCCGACGCTCCAGCTATGTTGTAAGTGACATTTGGGAGCCGCTTGATTGACGTCACGCGGGCGTGAAGGGAGATACCTGGTGGGCCCACCACACCATCAGGTAGGAGAAGGCCGCGATCCAGCAGATGGCGCCCAGGAAGGTGATGGGGAAGAACTTCTTGGATGACTGGCAAAGGGAAGGGAGATGAGCACAAAAATGTCAAATGAGGAGTATTCCCGTGCGCTTGCTGACGAGAAAGGAGCGCGCCTACCGGTTTCCTGACGTCGGGCAGCGTCAGCCACAGCGGGAGGACGATGGGCATGATGAAGAGGTAGGTGAAGCGCTTGCGGCCGGACTCGGGCCACGACAGGCTCAGAGGCTGGTCGTCTTCCTCCTCGTCTTCCGCCTGAAAGCCCGCAACCAGTCAACAAATTTTATGCCTGGAAACACGGATGCCTTTTGCGGTCGCTCCTCGCTACATCGTAGAATTTTGTGAGATTTTTGCTGGGATTATTTTTTGCCGACGGAGCCAAGAGGCACAGTGTAGAAACAAACAAACAAACAAAAAAAGACAGAAACTGTCCAATGTCAGGGATGACTTCACACTCGATCAAGGAAGCTAAAGTGCAACTATTGCGAAGTACAACTGTCTTAAATGATAAAACTACGGCAATGTCGACATAGTTAGCTAATTTAATATAGCCTAGCAATGCGAGTCAGAAGGCACTGTAGCACATGGCTCAACTCGAGAAGATTCTCTTCCAATTGCTTTGTTACAACAAATGCTTGACGTCAACGTCCATGTCACTCAACAGGCCACATTTCATCGTCACAGATGCTACAGTGAGGAATGTGAGGATGGCGGCTCTCCAAGTGGCCCAAAATAATTGCGACACCCCTCGCCCCCCACGCATATTTTGCACGGTGGTATATAGCTCGCACCAGGAGGCTGCCATTGGTCTATTTATGATTGGATTTAGTCGCCATGTGGGGGAGGGATGCTCCCTACTTGGCAAATGCCAGCCCCTTACAGGCCCGTTCCTGTCCCCCTGGGGACGGCGTACCGAGGCTCCGCTTAAAAGGGATCGACGTCGTACCCGCCGGAAGGGAAACGCGACATTTGATCCAAAATATTCGACTTTGATGAACGTGCTTCATTTACATGACATTCCTCCATGCTGGGAATGTAAAGCTCGTTCTTCAAAGAAATTCAGATGGGACGTTATTTCAAACCCGTAATCCACCGAGGATGTGCGCGCGATTCGTTTTGAGCTCCTCTAAAGACGGGATGAGTCAGAAATTCTCCGTCGCTTGCAACTGGGAAGCTTTCTCATGAATATTCAAAAAGGGAATATTTGGATGCGGAAGGGGATGATTTCGAGAAGGAGCTAAACGGGGGGATGGGGGGGGGGATTATTTGTTTAGCTTCCGTGAAACTGTGGCGCACGAGTTTGCAATTTGACCTCTAGTCTCCCCTTCCTTTCCAAACCCGTGCCAATGAATGAACAATTGGTGTGACAGCACACGGCGCTCCCGGCGTCTTCCTGGATCACACAGACAGGTGCGCCATGGGAGGCATTGCTGAAAATAGCCACAAACGCCAACGCCAGCCAACCCCCGCCCCCCCCACCCCCATGTTCTGGCACTTGACACCAGAAAAGTTTTTGCCTTGAACTTTGAAGGGCAATAAAGGACAATTTACCGAAACACAAGATAACTTGTGTTCCTCTCGTTTTTTTTTCTGGACTCGGAAGAAAAAGTTTGTAGAGCCCCGCTGGCGGTGGTGACGGTGGACTTGTTTCTTACCGCTTGGCCCTCTTGTCCCGCTGTGCCGTTCATGGGCGGGGTCACCTCCACTTGCACGCTGGAGCTGTTTGGCAGGTTCTTCTCTGCGCGGGGACGGAAAAAGACTCCGTGATGAAAGGCAACACACAAGCACCTTCTCGCCATTGCGGCGTGTTGCCCCGTTGGAATGAAAAAAACGCAGCCAGTTAAAAGCTGGAAGTGCCTCCGTCGTGGCTTTCATCAACGCCCACCTCCCCAAAGGGAAAAAAAAAACAACACATTTCCAGCCGACGTTGCACCGTGATGCCGAGCACGCAATCAAGAGGCTAACGCGCTAATGCGGCGCCGTTAACATAATTCGGCCTCACTTTGATTGCGCTGCACAAAAGCGGTGATGAAAGCGATTCCTGCGGCCTCCTCCGCCTTGTCCTTCCTTTCAAGTGACACTTGCTCACATTAGTGACCGGCTCGTCTCTATCATGTGCTAAACGGTGCTCGAACGATCCATTTGGCACGTCTTAATCATGTTGTCCAGCCTTTCAAGTTTCATCCACACCAAAAGCCACTCAAGCGTGTCTTGAGAGACATTGCCGAGATGGGGAACGCGACTGTTTCCAAAACTGACGGAAATCGGACACTTTAAACTCATTAAAAATTGCGGACATCAACTGGAAGGCAACCGTTTACTTTTGCCGGGGTGTAAAAGTGTCGTGATTCTGTTTGTGACCAACAGGTGGCACTGTAGGGCTCCCCCCCCTGCAGCTGCACACCTGTTGGTCGTTATGTAATTAGTAGTATAAAAGGACTCCCGGCCGACCACTCATTGTCAGGTCATTGTTTGTTTTCATGTCCTGCCATGTTTGTTTCTGTCATGGTTCTGTTCTAGTTTTTTGAGCTTCAGTCATGGTTTTGTTTGATACTTTGGATTCGTTTTGTTGTTCGGACTTTGTTTTGGATTTAGTTTTCTGTGTTTTATCAATACACTTCAAGTACACCCTGCTCCTCCCTCCTGCCTGCTTTTTGGGGTCCACCACCACGAACGTGATAAAAAATAAAATAAAATAAAAATAAAATAAAAAATAAAAGTGTGAATTCGGGTTTGTCAACTCCAGCAGGCGGAACTGTACCGTTTGTTTTGGGCGGTGTGCCATGGGATTTTTTAATTTTTTTTTTTTAAATATGACAGATGCAGCATGGCTCAATAAAGGTAAGGAGACATTGCCGGAAGGAACGCTGCTGCGGCTGTCCTACCTGAACGGCTTGCGACGCCGTTGGCCTTCTCGCTGTCCTCTACTTGGCATTTCTTTTTAGCGATCTTGTGAAGAATGGAGGCTTTCTCTCGGAATTTCCCTGCGCAAAAAAACAAAACAAAACAGCAGCCGGCGTGGTCGTTAAAAGGCAGAGCACAGTGGCCCGCCGCTGACTCGGGTTTCCTCCTCCGGCGGTGCTGCGGCGACTGTGACAAAAGTGATGATCCCGCACGTCGTCGTCGTCCTTGCATTTGGGATCTGGAGGTCAGCCGGCTCATGTTGCTTTCTTTTGAGCGCATTGCAAGCTAACGGGAGATGCGAGAGCTCAGTCGATCTCAACTAAACGGGGGATGACGACTTTCTCAGCAGCACGTGCGCTCCTTTGTCAGGCCGCATCGGAGCAAGCGGCTCTTTCTGCAGTCGGCAGCAAACGCTCGGACTAGAAAGAGGCGCTCGATGGCGCTACACTCTGTCTCTGTATAGCTTTCGCATGGGAGACTTAGCAACAGCAAATCTCGCCGAACCATTCAATCAAACACCGACAACACATTTGAGCAAATGACAGCAACATGGATCGCAGCGGTCGATTTCTCAAATTAAAAAAAATGCTCGCGTCACGCAAAGGCAATGTGAAAAATCGGCCGTCAATGAAAGGTCACGACCTTGGCGTGCCCTCCACAGACCACACGGCGACGCTCCCACACAAGTTGAGGCGCCGCGGGTTTCCCTGCCCGCATGAAAATTCCGATGTCGTGACATCATTAGTTGCAGCCTTCCTCCAAGTATGAAACGACATTTCTGAGCAGATCGGGACTGCGTGCGTGGCCTGCCTTCAAGCAATTAGCCTTTTGCAATCAATGGCTTTTTCATTTTGAGAGCGCACGGGTGATGTGACGCTGTCAATATCAATTTGCGCTTGCCCAACCGTGACTCGTCTGTGACCTTCTGGCAAAATCGTTCGGCACCACCAGCATCTGTCTCATCCCAACCATCACGCAGACGCACACAATCTAGCATTTCTGCAGCCGAGCTGCAACAACAACTACACTTCACACTTTGGCCTTGACGTCCAAACATTTTTCTCATTGCGAACCTCTCGGTCGGGAAGTTTCAACACGTTCTCCCGTCAAGGACATTACATTGAGGAATATGTTTCCTGCGAGGGCCATTTAACATGCACGCAGAGTTGCGCAATCTGCGTGAACACGGAGGGAGAGAAAAAAAAAAAGTTAAGAATAGCTTCAAGTTGTCGCTGTTGTGACGCTCAGTATTTTTTTTTCCCCTCAACACAAACTCTGCCTCTTATGAAAGCGCCTTGTGGATGACTCACTCCAAGCGGGAAAATTTAGCCACGGCGGCTGCTGCATCGCCGCCGTGTCCGCCGAAGGTGCGAATGGAAGCTCTGAAATGAATGATGGATTTCTCCGCGAAAGAAACAAGAAAACAAAAGCCTCTGTTGCAATGGGCGAGTGACTGCGCCGTGTTTTTACCAGCATGCCTCTTTGATGAGCATTTCAAAACAAAGACTCAAGATGCTACAGAAGCACTGCACAGATTGTAAAAAAAAAAAAAAAAAACAAAAAAACGATCATGACAAGACGAAAATAGAAGGACATGGTCGCCACGATTTGCACTTTTGTAGTGAAATCTCAAGAGAACAAAACAAAATCGAGGTGCTGCGGTAGTGTCACCAGAAAAACAAGACCAGAAAGAAATTAAAAAAAAACAAAAAAAAAAGGGACAACAGAGAAGAAAAGTTATGGATGGAGGAACAAAACCAACAAGGACGCCGCAAAGAAGTGAAAATTTTTTCAGGGCTTACCTTCCTCAGTCATTGAGTGATAATATTTTAGTTTCCCATAAGTCCCAAGCTCTACAAGGCCACAGCAAAAGACAGGGAAGGGGTCAGGGCAACGGACACACAGAGAAAAGGAAAAGAGTAAACAACACTGCACACAAACACAAAAAAAAGGAACTCCAAGTCGTCCCCTGCAAAAGTGCCAAGCTGCAACAAAAACATTCACTTGCCCAACAACGCTGCTTTGATGACAACACGTCAGCGTAGCGAGCGAGAAATCTGGAGGTGAGCGTGCAAAAAACAAACAAACAAGAAAACAAAAATAAAACAAAAGCAAAACCACGAGTCTTCCTCTCCTCCCCTCTATTTCCTTTTCAGCGGATGCAGGTCAAAGGTCGACTTGTGCTGTGGGCTCCAGCTGCCCTACAATCAGTCGCAATAAATACAAACTGGAACGGCGTTTGCCGACTCAAGTAAGAAGCGAGCGTGGAGACGCGAGGATTCTGCTCCACGGTGACGACCTCTGCTTATTACTCAACATTTGTCATTCATTCGGGCGTCGAGGTTGGATTCCCCCGCCCAACGTGAGCCTCGCCCCCCGATCGGGCCTTCAAGACCGGGGGGCGGCCTTGAGCTGGCGTTGGAGCGAGGGGGGGGGCAATTAAACCGCAATCACTGCACTCGCCCGTCAGGAGAGCGAGAGCGAGTGTGAGAGAGAGAGAGAGAGAGAGAGAGAGAGAGAGAGAGAGAGAGAGCGAGAGAGAGAGTGAGAGGGTGGTGGTGAGAGAGAGAGAGGGTTGTTGTTTACCAGGGGCCCTCTTGTCCTTGCGGAATGCCCTCTAAACCTCTGCTGAGCCATTTGACTGAGTGCATGCTCACCCAGAGTGGGAGCTTCAGTCTGAAGCCAAAAAAAAAAAGCTTTTAGCATCGATTCTTTCACTTGCTTGGTATGAAGAAGCAGAAGGCCGCGTGTATGTGCAATGTATTCTTTTCTATGTACACGATGCGCGGACGGCGAGTCTCACAGACGTGACGGCGCGGTGGCGGGCGGTGGGCGGGTGACACCAGGGAGGCCCTGAACAGTTTTTCCATTATCTGGCAAGGTTGTTTTAGTTCACAAAGATGAACGCAGTAACTCCAACTGGAAACAGAAATGCTGGAAAAAAAAAAAAAAAACTAGAGGAAAACTACATTTTACGTTGACAAAATGAACGACTTTGTCATGTGGGTGCACACAATAGAATCATCTGGACTTCGATACATTTTTTTGAAGTCGATTTTAATTTTTGCAACCACTTGACAAAATAAAATTGAGTCGATTCAGCACACCATTTTTTTCACAGTGTACCAAAAGCCAATAAAAAAAGCACCGCCAGAAGACATCGCTCCTCGTCGACAAATTTTGTGTTTGTTAAGGCTCCGCGGCTTTAGACACTTAAGTCAGCCCAAAACGCAACACTCGTTTTTTTGGTTCATATATATTTGGTTCATTTAACCCTAACCCGTGTTTAATTTTTACCACACAATACTTACCACCGTGTTGTTTTTGTTTTTTTAATTTTGCAATCAAGTAACAGAAGAATAATGAAAAAAAAAAAAACTAAAACTAATACTAAAGCTGAGCACCTCTGAAAAAAAAATTGAATAAAAACTAACAAGGTTGCGCTGAAAATAAATGAAAATAAACTAAAAAAACCCTCAAAAATGAAATAAAACTATTAAGTATAATAACCCTGCTAGCTGGACACCTTTCTCAGGGCAGAATTCAAGTTGAAATATTTGACACGCCCACACACGTAATCTTGCTTCTGCTTTTTTTTTTTTTTTTTTGGGGGGTCCACCACAGCGAGGTCATCGGCTCTCTCAGCACTTTTCGCTCGCATTAGCCTGGTCAGGCTCCGACCATGCAGATGTGCATCCCTGCACTGGCGAGGAGAGACAATTAAGACATTTGCGCAAATGAAGAAAAAGAAAAAAAGCACAGAGGGGGGGTAAAGGTCTGCTCCAACTCCAAAGGTGGTCGGACGCAGATTAAACATGCATGCGAACAATGAGGCATGGTCATCTTTAATCCCCTGTCAGGTTGATTGATTAGAAATCCTGAGGAAGGTCAGCCATCTGGCCAGGACATGAACTCCATTGATGCCTACAGACTGACTGCTAATAACCAACAGGAGGAGAGAGAGGATGGGCTTGGTGAGGGGGGGAGGGGTAGGACGGGGGAACAATGGTCGCAAAGAAGTCCAGAGAGGGGAAATGACATCCACAGAGCAGGATGGAAATATACGCTTGACCTACGGAAAAGTCAACATATAGGAGGACACATTGGGACACGTTGAGAATTGTCTCCAGGTTAGGGTTGGAATGATGGAAAAGCGCAGGGGGGTGGCGGGGGGCGGAGTGGGGGGGGTTACAGAAAGAGGATCAACTCACCAGAGTCCGCAAATTCTGAGGGGGACAGTCGAGGAAATACGTGGAGAGACAGAAACAGACAAGATCAATCCAAGCCACACAATTTTGTGTCAATTGAACCCGAAGGTGAAAGTCAGCGGAAATGGGAGACACGTTCGTCGGAGATACAATTTGTTCAGCCCATTCTCGCACGTCAACCCGGGAAAGAGATTCGTCTTATATTCGTGTCAGGTGACGTCAAATACGGGACATATTTCATATTGACCGCCAACAAACGTAACGCCAATTGGAACACATGCAAAGAGCGAAACGCGAGCCGCTTGAAAAGCAACCTCAGACTTCCTCCTCGGCTCTGACAACTTATTTTCAGAACTGCCCATAAAATATACATGGATGCCCCCCTCATCCACTCAGATCCCCCACCACGTGCGCTCCACTTAAGAGCCCGGGTGTGTGTGCGTGCGGGGATGCGCTGCACCTGCTCAACTCCCGCCGAGCAGCCGAGAGCCCGCATCGCGCTTTCACAACATCCACAATCTGACTTTGTTTTGCACAAGCGCATCGGGGAGGAAGCATCGCCCGGAACAAAGATGACGTGCATGCCCGCCATTGGCTCTGAGAGCAATTCCCAGTTTTCCTCGACAAGCCATTTACAATCATTAGAAGCAACTATCCGTCCGTCATCTCGAGCACATGAACCAGATCTTGGATTCTTCTTCTTTTTTTTTTTTTTTAATCGCCCAGACAGATTGATGGATATGCTTAGGGATGCAATGTACAAGTAGATACATGCTAATGGGCACTTGAAAGCCCATCTCGGCGCGGTGTGCTAATCTCCGCTGAGCTGATTCACTCCAGGCTTGGCTCGGTTCTCAAAGAAGTCTTTTGAGAGAAGTCTCTCGAGACAAAATTTTTTTCGCTGGTTCTTTTGACCTTGTCTGGAATGTTGCCAGCGATTTGTGGAATACCCAACTGTAAGTAGTTTCGGTTCGGTTACTTCCAGGTTGGAAAGATTGCAAAAAATTGTAAAGACTGAAAGACACATGGCGGAAATATTAAAAAAAAAAAACAACAACCCCCCAAAAACGAGAAATAGAAGACAACAGATAATTGCGGACAATTGGTGGAAAACGCCGCTAGACCTCAGCACAGGGCAGTGGAACAAAATCCAATAAGTTGACAATCTCACCTTCACTTAAAGGGTCCAAGGTGTGAATCATGAGCTGGAAAATGCTGTTCCTCATCAAGCTGTTGTGCAAGGAGGCCGAGCTGCCCCCCCTCTGAAGACGGGGTCTGGCCTGCGAGGAGACGGGAGACGGCGTTAAGAACGCTTCCGGGGCTGCCAACTGAGGGGGAGCCAGATCGACAGCATCTCGATACGCAAGTCAAATACGCTGTGCCAATTGGCTCCGAGGGAGAAACAACTTCTTGGGAATGCCCTGGCTTCTCCAATTATGCTCCCGCTTGGAATATGATTTCTTAATCCGTTTTTGCACTAAAACCCAAAGCGAAACCTGCGGGCAACGTTGATAAAATAGCCCTCCTACTTTCAAACGCGAGGCCCTCGGGTTGCATTTCAAAAGTGCACTGAAGTTCTTCCGAGCATCGCCAAGGCCGTTATGTGGTTCCGTGCTCAACTTTTGAAGCTAAGATGGCAGCTTGGAGCCTTCCTTCTTGCCCACCGGCGACACGTCGGGTGACGTCCGGTCTTTTATTCCGAGGCCAACGCCGGGTGCGTAGCGCTCGGTCCAAACATCTCCCGTGCGTGTGGTTTTCTCAACAACGCCCGTTTTGTCCAAAGGGAACGACTTGGATGAAGTTAACACAAAGTCACGGCATGGTGGGAGACGTACACGTCATTTAACAGCCACAAACAAAAAAAAAAAAAAAAAGGAGACAAGACACCTACCGACAACTTGCCGTCATCCTCGGGCGCCCCCGGACTCGCCTTTTCATCCAACACAAAGAAAGAGGAGGGTCAGAAAAGAAGGGGGTGGGGTCGGGAAAGGGTGGGGGGGTGGGGGAGAAAAAAAACAAGACAAAGATGTGAAGCATGCCGCACGCAACGATACAGAGACGTCACATCACGGTGACGGCCATGATGAGGATGATGATGATGATGATGATGGCGTGAGGAGGAGGACGACAGAACACGTTTGAGGAGACGATTGTTTTGAAAGGCCTAACCGATATCAAATCGCAAAGTAAAGACTCGTCAACACACGTCATTGATCCAGGCAGGAAGATGCTTTGTCTTTTCGAAAAAAAAAAAAAAAAAAAACGCCAAAGTTGGGTCACTCTTCTCTTAAGGCACAACTGTACGCAATTCGGTTTCATAAAAGTAACGTTGAGTTGAGCCTGGAAGAGGTTGAACAAAGTCACGGGAACAAAATTTTAAAAAAAAAAAGGCAAGTTGTCACGTGGAACTTTTGTGACAAGCATTCTTGCCAGCAGGCATTCTGGCGAGTCTATTTTTGAAAGGCAAACAAACAAACAAACAAAACAAAAAAAAAACGTGAAAACATTCGCATGTGTGAAATGAAGGCTTCTTGCGACCGCGATGGTTTGGATGGTGGAGTACGGAGGCTTTGTTTGCCGGCCTACACGCTCGCTTTGTACAGAATGCGGAGGCGTTGACGTGTGGTGAGAAGATTCGCCGAGCCCAGTCAGATGATCTGGATCCTTTCTTTCTAAAAGTCACTTGAAAGCCAGGCCTCCGCGTTGCAATTGTGCCGCAAAGCTGTTAAAATGACTCGTGGGGAGGAAAAAAAAATCCTTTGAATTTAGCTAATTGCTGAAAATGTGCAAAGACAGAGACATGAAGTACTCACTTGTGGTTTTCACCTTTTCAGTTTTTTTTTCTGTTATGTGACGCATTGGAGCGGACCCCTCCCCCACTTGAAAGGAGCTTTGAGCGCATTGATTGGCATCAGCGTTTTCCAGTGCAACTGCGACATGCATTCATGCTAGCGAGCTACTCTCCACCCTTCAGATAGTCTCCTAAAATGGCCGCTTTAGAGTGCCTCGTTGTCAGCTGTGACTTTTCACGAACTTGAAAATTATTTTTTTTTAAAAATTAAATTGAATTTCTTTCTTTTTTTTTTTTTTTTAATGAATGGCAATTTTCTTAAGCATTCAAATTGGGAAAGGTTGTTTGCAACACTCTTCTCTTACAGCAGGGGTGTCAAAGTCATTTTTGTCGTGGGCCACATTGTAGTTACAGTTTCTCATGGAGGGCCGTTGTGACTGTGAATTTTGTGAAACCATATAAATGTTTAATCACCTCCTTATATTTCATACACAGCACACAACAAATTGACGGGTACCAAGTTTCGAAATCAGAAGTAAAAAATAATGACTTGTTGAAACATTGTTTACGTTAGTGTCATAAGGGGTTTGGAAACGAGAAAATGCTTGCAATATCTTCAAGTTATGGATTACATGTAACAATTTGAAATTTTGGTTTAGACTTAAACAAGCATCCTGGAAGTTGACATGGCTGATTTGCTTTCGCGGGCCACATAAAATGATGTGGCGGGCCAGATATGACCCCCGGGCCTTGACTTTGACACCTGTGTTTTACAGTAACAGAAATCAGGGAAAAAAAACCAAAACAAAACAAGAAGTTGCAGGGGGCTTCAACCTGATTATTTCCCAGGCTAATTCCTCGCACGCTTACAATTGAATTGCTCTTTTTGTCTTGCCCCTCAGTCCAGGTGCCAGATTGAGATTACACGGCGGCTCGCGCATTAAAACAACGTTAAATATTACGACTAATAATCACACAAAGGGATTAGTATGTTTGTGCGCTCATCTAATACCCGCCTTCCACGTGTTACGTAATGTCACATCAGGAGGCTTCTTGGGAGCGGCTCAGCTGACGGCGGATGAGCAGGACGGAGGGACGGACGGGCGGAAGGGATGCCGGGACGGACGGATGGGCGGATGAATTTTCTCGCACATCTACGTGCACGTGGGGTAACGTTTCGGGGAATTAGCGCTGGGAAAAGTGTCACATGCATGAGCACTTCCACTCCAGCGTCACAAATTGCCAGCAGATTAACGAGGATTTTCCATCGGGCTCTCTCAACGTCAGAAGGGATTGGAAGCCATCAGAACCAGCGTTAGAACCTTCGGACCACATGTTGCCGCCAATTCTGTACTACTTTTTGCCACCGGGGTACCATCCGCAATGGCGCTGCGCAAAAAAAGGGCGGAGTCAAACGATCAAGGTGACTTGTTTGTGTTTGAAATTACGTCATCATCATCATCAACACTAACAACAACAACAATAAAAAAAGCTCCTCTCCTTCTTCTAAGCCAGCGTGGCATGAAAATAATGAAGTGACAGTTTTGCCGCTATTACTGGTTTTGCGCTGCGAGCCGCCTGCCTCCTTAAAGCGACTTGTGCAAATCTTCCGGCGGGGAACCTGTCTGCCGGAGCGTGACAGAACCCCCTCCGAGATTTGGCCGTGTACATCAGCCATTGCCCTTTCTTTCCTTTTTTTTTTTTTTTTTGCCTGGAGATGATAATAACCATCTTTAAGGCGGTGGGGGTGGGGGCGGAGAGGGTGGATAAAATTTGCACAAGTCAAGAAGCCGCCCACTTGCTAATTAGTAACCCCTTCATTTTTTTTTTCCTCTAACAAGCAGAACTAATTACGGAAGCTGCCACCGTGGCTGATTTCCCACAAGGCAGCGCTCACCAGCTCAAATTGCTTCCCCCTCACCCGCCCACCGACCAATCAGGCGACGGCTTCAGGGAGATGCACGCCAGGAGGACGGGAACACCAAAAAACTGCGGTGCCGCCCTCAGAGAATCAACGGCGCTGTCGAGGGGCTTTTGTTTGACCTGTTTCGATCACCGATCCGCCGATGACGTGATGGTTCGCGGTCCTGTCGATCGGGCGGAACTGATGGCACATCGAAGCGAGTGAGGCAACCGGAACGGCAGTTGTGCATTGCAAAAATATCTTGGTCCTTCCACTCGCACGTGTGAAAATTCAGAATTGTTGACGGCGGCCCGACATCCCCTCGAGAGGAAGCGGAAATGTTAGAAATGCTTCCTGACGAGCAGCATTTCCCAAGTGCTGCCTGCTGACTGACTGACTTTAGCTGTCAATCAGCCGAGGGTCCCGGGTGTTATTTCATGCAACGGCGAGATAAAGATCCCATCGCCCTTCACATGATGCGTTTACAGTGCAGTTATCTAATTCGACCTCGCGTTCAGAAATAGCTCGGGATCGATGGAGCTCTCAGTTTTCTGCGCAGCCGTCTGACTCTCCTTCAGAAAAAAAAAAGCAAAACAAAAACAAACACACCTCGTATTTTAAAAGTATACCGTCACGGGTTTTTAAGAGTACTCATTTGTGAGAGGCTTTTTTGACCTTGAATTGACTTTCACAATCTCGATCGCAAAAGTAATTGCTGCTTGCCTTGGGAAAGGATTGCAGTGAGTCAGGGAGCTGTCCGTGGTCCTTAAATGGAAACAAACATTCGGTCGCGGACTCCTAATGAGGTCGATTTTCAATTCCACAGAACTCAACTGCCCGGTACCGTAAGGCGAAACTCCGAGGGGGGAACCGACATTATTGCCGCACAATGGCCGCACGCATGACGATCATTTGATTTTCAAATCGCACGCGGTGATTTTTTAACTCCTTTTGGATGCGCTACAAAATGCTAATGCGCCGGAGATGACACAGTAAGCACCTGGGATGCAAATGAGAGCGCCGCTGGCCGTTGTTAGCAATGAATGCGGCTCCAAACAACAACAACAACAACAATGGCGCCAGGCTATTGATGGCCAAAGTCCAGTCGTGGTGCAGCTGCGTCGGATGACACAACTTCGACTCTTTTATTGTAGCGCTGAGATCAAACTCAAGACGCTCTTCTATTTTGAAACGTGGGTTCACTTGCAGTAAATTTCTGGAACCCAGGCCAACTTGGACTCACACAAACTAGTCCTGGAAAAATGGGATTAGACCACACTTTGTTCAGTTGGTTGTTTGAAATGCCGAGTACAACTAAAGACACATTTGTTTGGACAAATATAATGACGGGAACAAAAATAGCTCATGGGAGTATCATTTAAGAACTGATGTCAAGCCATCGATAAGGTTTTCTTTACAATAACGACAATTAGCGATTACACGATACTAGCAAAAAGCCTTCCATGTTTTCTTTTCTGCATTTACAACTGGGGATGTTCAATGTCACTTTTTTTTTCCAGACCGATACCAGTATGAGTATTCACTGTTTGGATACTCACCAAAACTGAGTACCGATCCCACTGGTACTTTTGAATCGTAACAATTAATCGAACACAATGACCCCAAAATTGTGAACACAGATTCTTCTTTCTGACGCAGATAATTTGTTGATGTGTCATGCTGCCAAAGTAGAGCGCCAAATCCTGCTGAGGAGCACTTACTCGGTCAGATTCTTTTTGCCTTAAGTCTCTGTGGTTGGTATCGGCGGTTTCCATGACTACCCGATACCTCAAAATAAGGTTGATATTGGCCCGATACGACACCTGGTATCATTTCTTGCACGAGTTGGGAAGGCCTGACAAGGTGACAAACATGAAGATGCGGGCAGGATCTTCCGTTTCATGCCGCGCCGAACACGGCATCGCCGGCGGGAAAGGAAATGCCAGCAGCCTGCTTTGTAACCGATCTTTGAAGCCCAATCCTGACGAAAAATCTCGCCTCTGCATTCCCGCTATTTTTAGCTTGCTAATGCCGCGAGCAGAGGTCGCAACCCTTCCATCTCAGCGGAGGCAACATCTGCCTGCGTGCACCAGCAACTTATCTGACGACGACGGAGGAATCTTAACCGGCTCCCTGGCTCGGTTTGCCTCACGGTGCAGATTTTCTCCCAGCCAGCCAATCAAGCTGACGTGAGGAATAAATGACTGCCATCGCTCCCAGGTTCCCCCTATAGTTGTGATGTGTAATTAAATTCACCGGTAAATGCATTTTAATGACGAGGAGGCGGCTAGCCAAGAGTGATCCAAATGAGTCGGGGGGAATGGGGGGCGGGGTCACAAGCAGCATTAGTAAAACGGGTGGCCTCATTTGACCCTTCTCCTAATGCGCCATGACTTTTCGCGGTTGTTCTTTCAACAGACCTTTGGGCACGTCTCATTCAGGCACCAACCAGCTAAGAAGCTTAGCGGAACGCGCGGCACTTTACGATACCATGCGCCGCAATGGTCTACAGCTCGCCAGATGTGTCGTCGCATTTATTCATCCATGCATCCATTTTCGGATCCGCTTTATCCTCACAAGGGCCGCGGGGGCTTGCTGGAGCCTATCCAAGGCATCTTCAGGCGGTAGGCGGGGGACACCCTGAACTGGTTGCCAGCCAATCGCAGGGCACACAGAGACGAACCACATCCGCTCTCACACTCACACCTCGGGACAATTTCGAATGTTCAATCAGCCTGCCGTGCATGTTTTTGGAATGTGGGAGGAAACCGGAGTACCCGGAGAAAATTCACACAGGCCCGGGGAGAACATGCAAACTCCACACAGGGAGGCCGGAGCTGGAATTGAACCCGGTACCTCTGCACTGTGAGGTCGACGCGCTAACCCGCATTTATCTATTCATTTATTTTCCCGACACCACAACAAATTTTTACAATAATCACTTCTTGCGACGCTGCTTTGGTCAAAAGCCCCGGTGAGATTAATCCGCAGACCAAGCGCTCATTAAGCAAACAAAAGATATTAGGCAGCGGTCGGCATGAACAAATAGGTAAAGACGTCCTTCCGACATCTGTGCTGCTCAAATCAAATCGCATGCTGTGCACTGGGATTAGCGCATTGACTGACTGCTGCAATACAATTCCGCTGCATGACTTTGCTGCCGCCCCCCACCCCCCCAGCCCCCGACTTTTGGGGGGAAAAAACAGGCTCTGGGGCTTAAATTGCAGGAACAACAAAATAAGTCGAACCGCCACCAGGCTCAAAGCTCAATGAGTGTTTTAAGAGTCGATTGTTTTCCTTTGCAAGTCGAAAATAAGTTTCGGTCCTGCGCTGGACTCTGCTGGCTGACAAAAAAAAAAGGATTTGATTTGCCCGCCTTACGTTGTTGATGAAGATAACCCATATATGGCAATCACGCATTTTGTCCTGATAAGTTAGCACAGAGTTTTATGAGCTGCGAACATTTTATCAGTGCTCGTCAATGCAAGCTAACATACGCCACAAGCCCCCTTTTAATCAAACGTGCATGTGGCAAACTCATTTCTTGCGGCATTCCGACGCAAATAAAGTGTGTCGACTATGTTTCTTAATAAACAGATTTCTTCTTTTCATTTTGGCACAACAGATATTACAAGTATTCCCACCTCGGAGCCCGTCAAATCCTTCACCTAAATTGGAAAGTCGCATTTCTATTTGGCTGTCACGATTTTCCATGACTTGTTTTTTTCAAATTCAATTTGTGGAATTGAATATTTGGTGTCACGACAAAATTCGGGGGCGGATTATGATGAGGTGACGATACATTGGTCGAGTTGTCACGGTCACCGCAATATGATACCTTTCACTGTCCTTCCAAGAAAGGCAATTTGTCCCACCTTGAGCCTGACTTTTTGTTCTGATGCATCACGGGAACGTCACGGCTGAGAAGACGGCCCTCCTCGGTCACACTGCGTCGGGTTATCTATCTATCTATGTCACAATTCGAGCGGGTGGCACTCGCCTGCTCAAATTGCCAATTAAAACCCAAAATAAGACACATGCAAGCGTCCCCAAAGTGTCAGGACGTGATGAAAAATGGCGACTCTTTGGAAGAATCCGGTCCAATTCCGCGTGGGCCTTTGTTGCCCTAATTAACCCGGACGACTCATCTGACTACTACCCAAAACACAAATGCCAATTACCCGCAGCAAAACATCGTCACGTCGCCGGCGTCTACTATTCCTTCTTGAGTCATCGGCGTCGGCACCCAGAATGCTTTGCAGCTCAAGGTCACCTCGCTTGTCTGGCACCGAGCCGGCGCAAGCTTCCTCCTCCCGCGCCTGTCAAACAAACCGATTGAGCGGAACCTTGTGCGACATCGCCAAACGTAAAAAGTGCCGCCTCTTCCTTGTGGGATTTGAAAACACGTCCTCAGGGCAAATCCTGCCCCCCCCCCCCCACACACACACAAATGAATAAATAAAGGCTTTATGAGACAATGCTCTCCAAATTTCATTTCCACCTCATGTCACAAGGAAAGCTAAATCCCCCCGTGGATAATCTGCACGCCGGCGCTGGGACGACCGCCGAGCGAGCCCACGCGGTGTTTAGCGGCGTCGTTTGCCGTTAAGTGGCCGCACCTCAGCCGCTTGCGGTTGTGCCGACTCACGGGGGAAAGAAGCCGACGGATCGCAAATGGCTTCCTCACGACTTCCGGAGGATTTGTTACTCGGGCGCAATTTGAAGAGCTTAACCCGAGATGACACGTTTGACTCATTTTTATTCATCTCCGAGCCGGACACCTGAAACCAGATTATTTTTCTCTCCGAGCCGACATGTTTTAAAGCGTCGCTCTGCGGGGTCTCGATCAGGAATGGCAAGCTCAATGACATGGGAGGTGCGCATCCTGAAAGCGGCATCGGACGGTTTTGGGGAAGAAGGCCGAGAAGCCCACTCACCTTGGGCTGCACCTCCACCTCCACCACTTGGTTCTTGTTCATGCAGTTCTTGACGAAGCCCTCCACGGTGCTGTTGAACTTCATGAAGATGACGTAGGCGGCGTATCCCGACAGCAGCGTGATACTTTCCCACACGGAGATGAAGTTGTCGAGGAAGAAGACGATGAGCAGGATGAGATCCAGGATGTAGAAGGAGACGTCGCGGAAGAGCGGCCACCACGTCAGGTTGAGGATCTCCTTGGAGAAGATGGCGCACATGCCGATGACGAAGAGGATGTTGAAGACGGCCGAGCCCACGATGGTGCCGATGCCCACGTTGCTGTGCGAGATGAAGACGCCGATGATGGACGTGAAGAGTTCGGGGGCCGAGCCGCCCGCCGCCATGAAGGTGGCGCCGGCCACGTCGTCCGAGATGGTCAGCTTCTCGGTGATGACCGTGAGCGCCGGGACGAAGAACTCGTCGCATACGATGGCTAAGGCGATGAACATGTAGATCATGCCGAACATGTGGAGGATCACCGCCCCACGGCGCCTCTGCTGGAGGTCAAAAAGGTCCGGCGGGTACTCCCCTTGGCTTTCGTTGCCGCCGGCCGTCGATTTCATGCCGGACGATCCGTTGGCCTCCTTCGGCTGTCGGCTGAAGAGCAGAGTCCTGTGGGGCACCGGCTGGCGGAGGCTCTCGCCGGGCGCCGCCGAATCACCCGAAGCGGCGGAGTTCCACGTCAAGGCACACACGGAGACGGCACTTACGGCCAGCAGGCTCACCACCAAGCCCAAGATCCGCACCGGCCTCAGTTTTCTCCGCAAACAGCGGTGATCCCTCCTCTTGCAGGGAGCCGCGGCTCCCGCAGGCGGCGGCTCGGCCGGGCGGACGCATGGCGGACGCATCTCTGGGCGCTTCTGGAGCGGCCTCGCTCCCGCTGGTTTGGTAGGATGAAGGGGAAAGTCGGGCGGGGGCGCGGGTTTTTACCGGAGATAGTAAAACATGGTTTGGGCCTCAAATGTGTTGAAAGGACTGCTGGCACTTTCCTGGATCGGGCTTGCCAAATGTTGCCTTCATATTAGCCTCTGCTGGAAAAAAACAACAAAGAATAAAAGACACAATGAGAAATTGACAGCATGTGACTTGACCTTTGTTGTCGTTTTAGGGCCACATCCAACTCTGCAATATTAAATAACAAGACCAGCAATAGGAGAACACATGTTGCAATTTATCTAGGATTTTTCGACAAGCTGTACTTTGCTGTACATTTTGTTTGGGGGCACACTGGCTTGTCTCTCTTGCCCTTTGAGTAAATCTTGAGAACAAAATGTACCTTTTTGCTCCCAGTGGCACAATTGGGTCCGTTTTTATAGATTACACCTTCAGGGATGGAAATTAACACCTACTCTACCTCCATTTCTGACAGCGCATACAACAAAGTGCGATCATTTTGCTCATTCTGTGGCCCGAATAGACTCCCCAAAAAATAATAACCCAAATAATCAAACGTTGCAGATCATATTCAACGTAAAATATGGCAAAACTTGATCGGGGCAGATTCTTTTTGGCATGCGCCAAACTGCAGGAAGAAAAAACACAAGAAGGTCGTTGGATAACGGGCATCCGAACCGTGATGACGCTGCTGAAAACGGCCAATAGCTCTTATTATTCTTCCTTTATTTTGACGGCCAAAGCCCATCCGCGCTGCCGTTAACTCTGCCCTTTACTGATGCATTCGTCCTCTCGGCTGTATTCAATCAAAAGAAAGAGGGGGGAAAAAAAAAAACACAACCCAACGCGTAATCTGCACGCGGATGCGCGTGATGCGCAGCACGGCACGGCTGCAAGACGTGTGAGGTCTCGCCTTACCTTAGATGGAGGCAACAGACAGCAGCAGGTTGCAAATTCACAGTCCGGTGCCCTCTTGCTCTCTTTGAGCACAAAAATGTCACCGGTCTCGACTGTAGCGACGGACAGAGGAGGAGCTTTTGACAGAAGAGGAGGAGGAGGAGGAGGAGGAGGCGGCGGCGGCGGCAGAGGGGGGGAGGAAAAAATGCTCACGCCTCCTCTCTTGCCTCACCGTCTCGGCTCAGCATCGTCCATCCCGGCTCGGATGAAAGCAAACACATGAATTGCTTATTAGAAAAAAAAAAAAGAAAAGAAAAAAAGAAACCATTGGCAAATGTGACCAAGTGACGCGCTGAGCTGGGCCGTGATCGAGATGATTAAAGTCAGGTAAAGAGGCGCATTCCCACCCTCCGCGCACCCCCAACCAGGTTCAAGCTGCTGCGTGCGTATGGCTTTTGGTGATGCTGCATGTTACCGTGGTTACCGAGCAATGACAGCTTTCCTCCTCTTTTTATCCCCTCTCCCCCGTCCTCGGGCCTGGCGTCCTGCACAAACAGGTGGCCGTGCTTCAGACTGGAGGCTGATTGATGGGGAAGCCGACATAAAGGTCATTTCAAGGTTACGTGCAAGACGGGGCAATGGGGGATTCAGCGTCCTCACATTTCTTCCACTAACTACAGCAGTGGACGCTATAGCTCAGGGTTGGGCTACTGAAATGCTGGAGGGGGCACAATTGGACAAAATATGCGCATATAAGCAAAATACGTGCCCTTAATATAGTACATTGTTAATAACACATTTCTCTGTGCAGGTATAAAGAATTCACTATTCTATGGATAGTGGAAACAAAGGCTTTGAAGCAAACAACACAATAACCACACACTGTCTTTTTTTTTTCAAGGACTTGCAGAAAAATAACCATTCAAGGACAGCACAAAACTGCTCAATAAGAAACCAACATTAAGCGCGACAACTCATTTTGCATGCTTATTCACACACACGACCCACCCACCCACACACACACACACACACACACACACACACACACACACACACACACACACACACACACACACACACACTCTCAAAAATTAAACATTATTGAGTTACAATGTCTGGCATATTATTCCAAATCCATAAAAAAAAAAATAATGATAATAATTAGGAGGTCTCCTCACATTGTAACATAGGGCAGTCCAAAGGTTGTGTAAGCTTGCCGGTCCCCATGTGTTTACGCGGGGACCGTCCACACCGGGGACAAATTTTTGTACGTGCGCAGTGCATGAAATTTGGGCAATGCGGACGCCGCGCAGTAGGGCATGGCGGCCGAAATGAGGCAATTTTGCGGACCTTGCGGATGCATTCTGCAAAAACCAAGTTCATGACCCAGTGTCAGCGCAGCTAAGACATATCTGCCATCTAGTGGTGATTGGTGATATTACAACTGAATATGACCGTCGACCCATGAATATTCGCAATTCCACAGATTTTTTTTTTTTTTAAATACTTTTTCTTATTTTGTTACCGTTTTTTTCCAGGCTTCCCCCACCCCCCTAACCCCTTTCCTCCAGTTTTTCGGGGAAAACGCATATTAAATGCTTGTCACCGTTTTTGTTGTTGTTGTTGTTGTTGTTTTTAAGTAATGTACTGAGAGCATTTTTCAGTCTTTTTCCCTGGATTTTCACTACACGCTAAAATCAAACGGTGGATTGGCGGACTCCAAAACACTTGTGTGTTTCCAGTGGTGGTGCCGCCCCAGTGAAAAGCCTCAAGTGACAATACCGTCCCAATGGGTTGTGGCCAGCTATTTACCGCGACACCAAGAGACCTTTTAAGAACTTGGGGAAACAATAGGCAGGCGCCAGAGTACTTCAGGGTGGAAGAATGTGAGCCACGACCCCTAAAGTGCTTCGGTTTTGTCCCCCCCGGAGCTACATGTGACATCCTGCAACAGTATATATAATAAATCATAATTGACTGACCTTATTGATTGACTTTCGCCCATCACCCCCCCGCCCTCCAACTGGCCTTCTGTTACCTAACAGGAAACACAGAGACAGATCACATGAAAGGGGGCAGCCTCACGCTATCGACACTTTAGGATTCAGTGAAATCATCAAAATGTGTTTGGGGTTGACCTGAAATGGACGCGGACATTTACCAAGCGTCATCCCTTTCAAAAAAGTCAGCACGAGACCTCGAGGAGCCCCTCGGAGGCCCCTCGCTGGCAAGTCTCATCAACTTTTCAAGGCGATTAAATGGAGAGCCACGACCCCTAAAGTGCTTCGGTTTTGTCCCCCCCGGAGCTACATGTGACATCCTGCAACAGTATATATAATAAATCATAATTGACTGACCTTATTGATTGACTTTCGCCCATCACCCCCCCGCCCTCCAACTGGCCTTCTGTTACCTAACAGGAAACACAGAGACAGATCACATGAAAGGGGGCACTTTAGGATTCAGTGAAATCATCAAAATGTGTTTGGGGTTGACCTGAAATGGACGCGGACATTTACCAAGCGTCATCCCTTTCAAAAAAGTCAGCACGAGACCTCGAGGAGCCCCTCGGAGGCCCCTCGCTGGCAAGTCTCATCAACTTTTCAAGGCGATTAAATGGACTGCTGAGTGGACACGTAAGGCAATGAGAGGGGATGTTCTCATGTGAGTGATAGCGGGCCTCGTCATTAAAACGCACTAAAAGATGACCTGTCGGAAAAGTCCATCGAATCAGCGCATGCGGCTCTAACGCCAGCTCTCCCTATGACGCCCGTCGATAGTTTTCTCATCGAACCAGATCCCTCCAGGCTGTCAGCTCGTTTTACCCACCCAACAATGGCTTGGCAGCCTCGCCGCTCGCAGTCCGGGTACCTTTCCAGCATAAAACTGTTGACTGGTCACGCGTGGGTCATGAAGGGAGGGTGGGGGGGGGGCAGATAGAGTGATGATAAGCAAGCGCGTTTTTCCAGTGAACGGGGAAGGACAATTGAGCGAGCTCTGCGAGCTATCGAGCTAGCATGATTGTAAAGGTCTATCAATGACGACTTTCAGTCACACGCGACGGATGAAATGCTGGAAGCCTCAAATCAGAAGCTCGGGGGCCGGACCACTTGCCGCCCAGCAAAACCCCGTCAGCACATCTAAAAAGCAATCGGTGGGATTCTGGGAAAAACAATCGATCAGTGAGGCTCTTCAATTGGCTGTGTGACCAATGCTGGCGAGTTTTTAAAGAAGGCTGGGGGGGAGGGTGTGTGAAAAACAAAGTGGAGTGATAAATCTGTTTGGTTGTGCCGGAGAGATTAATAAATTGATAATCCACAGGCAGGTTTGATGGCTACTGTAAGTACTGGAGCTGATTAGACAGCAGCTGAAAGTAAGATCCTGCTTGAAGGATTTCACAAATACTACAGGCGGAACGGCGCACGTATTCCAATTTTTCCACATGGAAGATATAAGTGTGTTCTCGCCATACACTACTTGCTAAACAAATACAGCGAAGCCCAGAATTAAATTCATTCAAACGGTATGAATTGTTTCTGTTCCAAAGTTTTAATGCCAAAATAACTTACTGCCACAAGGCGCAAAATAAGTACTTTCATATCGCAGTTTGCTGGTCAAAATGTTTATTTTGCACCTCATTAATACACATCAAATAGCAAAAATTTGAATCAAATGCCGGGACAACCATCCAAAGAAAGTCGACGGACGGCGGAGGCGGTTTCAAAAAAGCTTCGCTGGGCTCACGTCACCTAACGCGGATAGTCAAAGGTCATGGGGAAGCTCTGTGCGACTTACTTGGAAGCATCTAGCTAACAACAACTTGGGCTGGCGATTCGCGCGCCTAAACACGTTGTGGAGTCGCTCCTCAACAGTAATCATCGCCTGCATGGCAGCAAATGAGTTACATTTCTGACATGTCTCATACTCCTGAAGGGATGATGAGAAAACGCGGAGAAGGCATGTAAATGCTAAGCTAACCTAAGACTGACATGGCTAGCATGTTTAACAACCCAAATAAGTGGTTGGGTGACCAGTTACACTTTTCACAAACGTCCGGCTGGCACCGCATTAAAGCGGAACACATCTAAGGTTGGACAGCAACATAGCTCAGCGTTTGAGAAGTATCTGGATTCTGGGGAGAAAATCAAACACACTAAACTGAACTGGAACCGGAAATGAATCAACTTTTGTTATGTTGTACGTCAGCCAGGAGGTTTGGCCTATTA